GGGAGAGGAGAGGTAGAGAACAGCAGATGAAGAGAAAACCAGTCAGTATTACATTCGACAGAAAGGGTTCGTGGCATTTCCTCGCTCTAAACCGATTTAGATTTTGAGTACTCTTTTCATTTTCAGCTTTTGAAATAATTGCTGCACTTGCAGAAATGACTGCTTTATGGTTTGAAATTGGTGACAAAGTGGTGAGCGGTGCTCTGAGCCCTGCTAATGCAGGTTTGTCTGTGGCAATACACAGGAGGAGCCTTCTTCAAAGGGAACAAGGGAAAAAAAGAGTTGTGTCTTTCAAAACGTTGTTGCTGCTCTCCCAGAGGTGTCACCCATGGCAGAACCCATCACTTGGCTGGAAAAATGCAATAAAAATACCTTTTTATAATAATTGATTCCAGCAAGGGCATGGTAATTTAGAACACGATATAAATTGGCTGGGAACGGGTCTGTGGAGCAATTGAAGTAATAGGCTATAAATGTGATCAAACCCAAAATAAGCTTCTCATTTTTAATAGTCATTAGCTTTATTACATTACAACCTTTTGAGACATGGTCAGTTATGGATCTTCATTTGGTTTATGAGTTTATTTCTGGTCAAAAAACAATTACTGCAGCTTTTCCATTACGACTAAATACAGTCTAGGCTGGGTATTAGACTAATTAGTGCTCATTACAGATGAAAAGACCTTCTAGAGCAAAACCACGGAGCTGTTGTGTCAACAGATGCCCTCAGCATGCTCTGTGAAGTCTCCCCTCTCAACTTGATTAAAAAAAAGTGTGTTTCTTCCTCTCCGCTTTCTCTGAAAACACCACACTTTTCCCCCAAGTCTTTTCACCTCGCCTCTTCTTTTTTCATCTGTAGCCTTGATTCACTGCCTACATCACTGATCACTACTTCAACATATACAACATAGACAAAAAAAGGCTTAGAGTTCATCTTAACATGGAGTTACAATTGTAGCTAACTAAGAAGACAACTAGATAACCATATAACCCTTAAAGTGGACCTATCATGCTATATTATAATAATATAGTGTAGGACCATACCTATATAAGGCATACATTTTATACTTTTTTTTTTTCAAAATACCAAACAGATCATGCATTTTAGCCATGCCTCATGTCGCTCAATTTGAAATTGTTTAGCTCTGTTTTTGCAAGGGCTGATTCTGTGAGAACAGCACCATCTACTGGCCTGGCATATGTACTACAGCGTCTCCAGCGCTTTCGAACGGCAATGGCCGTGGCTGTCTCCTCCTGATTGGTGGAGTTGGCCCAATAGCCGTAGCGCCACCGTCCTGACGTCAGGACAGTGTTCAAATCTGGATCAGTTTTTATCAGATCCGTTGCAGCCCCTTTTTTAGAGATTTGGGTATGGAGGAAAATAGAGAGGGTTGTGTTTTCTGACACTTGGTGAGTTCCCTGGAACACCGGGGACACATATTCATGTATAAAAGACGTACAAAAGTGCATTTTGCATGATAGGTCCCCTTTAAGCAATATTGTGTGATATTAATGCTGACTGTCTGTGATGTTATTTTGCTAATACTAAACAGAACTGGCTTACCGCCATGTTCTGTTCAATACTTCAGCTCTCAGAGACCCAGATTTGTTTCTCAGGAGTTAGGGGATGGAACAAGAGGCATAAACACGAGTAAATGTCGGACTTGCAATCGACCAGTGGTGCAAAAGAAGATAAGTCAATGTTGCTCTGATTCTGCTAGCTGAGTGAGTAATGTTCAAAGCTTGTGAAAAAGGGATAAATCGACATATTTCAGATCAGTTGCTGAATGCTGACTAACCACGGCCTCAGAGATTTCCACAGAATTTGTTCAACACTTGTTCAACTCTATCCAAGGCTCATAGACATTGTTCTTATAAATCTTCCAAATCTGAACTACAGAGTAGTGGAAACCTGTATTATGTTCAGTCAACTTGTACTCTTTTTCCTCTGCAGTACAGATCTAATTGCAACCAACAGTCTCTAGAAGCAAAAGGAAATTGGATATTGTGGGCTGACATATTTGAATTGTTACATCGGCGTGGTTTTCCATGATGATTATATTATATAATATATATTATATTCCCATATTGCAATAGTGGTGTTTCCCGTTTTAAAGTCATCCACCATTTGTTTTATGAACATTTGGATAAAGCTGTGCCCTGGTCTCCCAGTCACTACATCCCACCACCAACGAAGCATTACTGGGCATGTTATAACATTTCTTCTGTCCGCCCACATTTCATATAGCTCTGCTACATCTCCATCTTCACGACTCTATTAGTGACTTCAGTTATGTGTGCCGCAACCGGTTTTCTTTTCGAATCACTGATTTTGTTTCCACTTTGGAAGACGCAATATGGGGATGTTGGGCGATGTGTGTGTATGTGTGTTTGTAAGGGGGGTTGACAGCGCTGCTCTTACATTACAGTACCTTACTTCCTTTTTTTCTATCAGTGAGGAGTGTAGCAGGGGGAAGGAAGAGGAACGTATCTGTGGGCCTTTCATGCCACAGTGATCCCAAGTAATCTAATTCAGCCTTCCTCTTTCTCGCTTGTGTGCTTCTCTCATATTGGTGCATGCAGATTGCAAAAAGCTGCGTGTGTGTGTGTGTGTGTGTGTGTGTGTGTGTGTGTGTGTGTGTGTGTGTGTGTGTGTGTGTGTGTGTGTGTGTGTGTGTGTGTGTGTGTGTGTGTGTGTGTGTGTGTGTGTGTGTGTGTGTGTGTGTGTGTGTGTGTGTGTGTGTAAGAGTGAGGAGACAGAAAAGAGGACAGAAGGAGACAGACAGAGTTAATGAGTTCTGAATGTGTCTGCATGAGTATTTGTGTTGTGTGTTAAGTACCATGGGGTGGCTGGGGATGATGTGCACCTTGGGAAGTTGTCTGTGCGGAAGAAGCACTTGGACGAAAATGAATTTGAAAAGCGAAGAGAAAGTCTCATGATGGAGCAAAAATAAAATAAGTTAAATTGTCCAAATCAACGTCTTTTCAAAAAAGGCTAAAGATGTGAATGTTTGAACATTTCAACACATTCTGACATGATAGCAGCTAATTCACTGAATCACTGACAGGTCCTCTAAAATAATAGCTAATCAATGTAAGGAACAGGCAAAATGAAGTCTTTCTGCACACCCAGGTCACACACACACAGTTCAATACACATCTTAATCTCATGACACACTCCTACCTAAATAACTCTGTCCCTAATTGATTTATCCTAGTTTAGCAAATCATTCTAATATCAGGTTAATTATCCAATAAAGAGATGGATTTTTGCCACTGTCATGATTTATAGTGAGTCATTAAAATCCCTTCTTTTATGAAAAAATGGAGCAGGTTGATTGAAGAAATGCTTGTTAGATTTTGAAGGGGTGGACACTTATTTTACAAAACAATACAGGTGACTTGTTCTCTCCTTCATCATACCATTGCAAATAAAGTTAAATAAACAGGATTTTATTCAGACAATAGCTAATTATGGTCAATTATTTTTTAAGTAGAGATTTTGAGAGATAACAATGTGAATCAAAGTTGCAATACTTTTGTCAGTGGAAGATGTAAAAGCAAACTATGTATTCCTAGAGAAAAGGAAGCAGGCTGCCGATTCATCAGTGACATGAAAAAGATGTGAGAGAAGGAACTCGAACAATACTGCAGCATTAAACACATTGCTTCAATTATCCTGAGAATGGATCAGTGGGTGATGCTGCGCCGCATTCCTCTGAATCAAGGAACAGCCACCCACATGCATCTATCATCCACACAGCTACGGGCAATACTTAGAGAATAACACAACAGTCAGGTCTTTATCATGCAGATCAGAAGCACCGAAATAAAAAATGAATGCGGTTTTTTGTTTTAGCAATCAGCGCTGAGGTGACAGTAGGCTTTCTCTTAAATCGACACACTTTGATGTTGCTCATTTGTTCACCTGAATGTTCTTGATCTAAATCAGAAGCAGTGCACTCTGGGTCGCTGAACAAAACTCGCAATGTGAAGTTCTATAGGGGGAGCTTGGCTTAATCTACACAACAGAGAGTACCTGCGCCTCGCTGAGGGAGGCACACCGCTCTGGGCTCCCCTCAGGCCAGAGCCAGAATGCTGACCCATCTGAGGCCTGCTGGGAGGCTTCTAGCAAAGTCTGCGAGCACAGACCCACGCCATCGCTCTGCCTTTTTTATCCAAGCAGCAGTACGTGGAGAAAGTAATCAGATCCTTTACTTAAGTAAATATAGCAATATAACAGTGTAAAAGGTCTTTGTTACAAATACACATCCAGGTAAACTTACATTATAACAGCAAAATAAAATATATTTTTAAAAAGGTTATATATGTATGACTCAGTATGCAGGATGGCCCTCTCAGAGTGTTTTGGGGTAAATGATTGCAATATTGTTACTGTTGTATATGCAGAATATTGATTTTGTAGCTGGATATGGTCGAACTAATTGCACTTTTTTGTATATTGTTGAGTAGTGTAGGAGGTATTCAAGAAAATGTTTGAGTGTTTAGCTTATTTTTTATTTATTTTCAAAAGATTGGATAGCACTAAAAGCACCTCTGGTGTGTGTAGGCAGGCAGGTCCAGGACCAGCATGCATGTCTTTTTAGAAACTAATCACATATTTTGTGAAATCCTAAATAATTTAAACTTGACATCAATTTATGAATACATATGCATGTAGTATTTTTAGGCCAGAATATTTTACTCAGCAAGGTGTACAAGCAAACATCCTTGGAGCTCAGCATGCTATGATGTTGTTCCTAAATTCTTAATTGAACATCTTCTAAAAACATATGACTAGTTTGAGAATACATTCATGTTCCTCCCCAAGACTTCAACCAGACATGATTAAAAGTGCAGAAAGGTATTTCAATTATGTGTTGAAAGAAAATATATGCAAATGTCCACTTGAAGTGTAAATTAAAGAATGTGGTGCTCGACATTTCACAGTGCAGCCATCTCTCTGGGAGTGGCAGTGTGCTGGAAGCGGCCTCACTCACCATGGCCAGTGGCACGATGCCCGCCAGGTCCTCCTGCGCCAGCTTGATCTCCGTCTCAGCCTCTTGTGTGGCGGCACGACTGGACGGGTACTCCACCTGCCAGGCCATCCAGCGGCTGCCCAGCGGCTCCGGAAAGCTTTCCATTTTCAGATCCACCTGGAGCACCCTCTGAACTCCCATTTCAGACCTGCCAGATAACAGGAAAAAAGTGTCAATGAATGGTTAAGCAGATGGCTGGGCGAGAGTTGAAAAAGGTACAGCATGTGTGGATGTGCTTGAGTTCCTGAGCTTATTCAACTGCTTAAATGACGGCAAAAAGCTAAAGCTGATGAATGTGCCTGTGGTTGAAATCCATGATATTTTACCAACTGAGATTCTCCCTGTGTGTTTGCCTCCCTGGTCAACACTATGTGATGGAATAATATCACACCACTTTTTCTATATTCCACTCACAATTTTCCAAATTGTTATGCACTGTAAATAGAGCCACAATTTCATGGCTGGATCACAGGGAAGTTCAAAGGTATGCATCGCCAGGCGTCACCCCCGCTAAGGTGTTGATGTTGGGCTTCGTCACCGGTGCCCTTGTTTGCCGTACTAGAGCGTAAATAAACGACACATTTTGGCACAATCTAAGGAAGGCCCGAATTAAGTCAGACAAATTGAGAGCGTTGATAATAAAATTTCCCCGTAGCGCTATAAGTCTCTGGTGCTCACAGTTTAAATATAGCCTGGAGGCAGAAAAGGTCAGCTTTACACGGGAGCCGGAGGAGATGGGAAATGGCACAAGATCTGTTAGCCACGTTTTGCGTGTCAAATGGCGGGACTTGGGGCCAATACATTTCATGCATGGTCTCTGTGGCACACCGGCACAAAACAGCAGCGTGTAATTTGAACATGGTGAGGGGGAGAGAGACAGAGAAGAGGAAAGATGAATAAATCCACATAGTATTTAGTTTGGAGAGAGAGGGGGCATACAGTATAACATGTATCAAATACATGTACTGTAAAGCACAAGGCAGAAAAAAGATAACTTACATTCTAAATTCAGAAGTAGAATAAACAAAACATTGCCATAAAACAGATTATTCATGTGAGAAAGACAGAGCAAATGTATGACACCTAAATTATAAATAGGAGACTAAAAACAGTAAAACAATAAATAATGGAAAATGTTGTATCCAGTGCTCTCATATTCACGTAGGTCTGACACTATTTCCACATCATGCTCATTGTATTCAGTTTTATTCTGAGAGAATGAAAGATGTGTTGTGCAGCAGAACACAACAACCCAATTTTCACATCCAACAGAGGTGTGTATGAATAATTAAGATGACAACCAAATAACTTGTGTCACATTTCATAACAGCGTTCCAATCAGAGCAACGAGCAACTGAAGGCGTAGTACGACATCATGGACTTACATAACCCGTCCCACAATGCTTTGGGAAAAGACAGATGCTAATCTCAGGTCGGTAAAAACCGGAGGTTCATCAGGCAAACAGATGATGCACTGAACGTCCAGAAATAAACATTTGAGAGTTTTTAGAGTCAGTGAGCGTCACACAGGACCTGTGTCAGCCATCAGCAGAAATGGCCTACTTTCTACAGCACACGCACACTTTTGCTCTGGAAAATATCACACACTTTAGGCATGCAATTAGAAAGACAGGCAAAAGAATGAAAGAGACTGCACAGCACAAATGTTTCATTATACACCGCCAAGTACATGAGCTAAACTCACACCTTCACAAACTTAAAGAGCCTCAAGATAAAGACAGAAAAGTTTACTGATATTAGCTTTTCCTCCCCCTTCAGATATGTCAATTGTTTCCCTCCTCGCATCAAGTTGGCAGAGTTAAATAGCGGCTGCGAAAGTTATAAATGCTATGAGTTTTATTTTATTCCATCTTAGAATAGAAATGCCAGAGAATTTAGATTATAAGAATTGACATCGTAGGTTAAAATTAGACCCTCTGCTTTATTTTAACATGGAGACAAGCTGTTAATTCAGGATTTTTTGTGACAGAAATATCCAACTTCAAAAGATGACAGCAATATAAAAACAAGGGAAAGTGAAGGCAAGGAAAGAAAAGGATCTTAGGGTAGTGCAAAGTTGAGATCAATACAAAACGAAGACATTCAAAGACATGCAAACTATCTTCTTACTTTGGACATTCTTTGCCTTTCATTAAAGAAATGAATAAAAACAATGGCAGAGTGGACAACAAGTGAGTTTGCAATATAGTAAAACATGTAAAAGAATTATATAATAAAGAAATAACATGTTGTAAGTAGTTCATTTATTGCATTTTTTATGGTGACTTAAAACCAAAGCTGCTGCAGGTTGTATATCAAGCTAGCCAATACATTGAAAGGTGAAAAAAAGTGAACAATGAACATTCACGTCTCAAAAATGAAACCTGACAGAAGCGTGAGTGTCGGGGTGAATAAGACTTTGACGCTTTACACCAGAGTGCCATCCTGAGCCGACATGCCCTCTTTAAAGTCTGCTAATCGCACAGATCGCTGAGGGAAACTGTTCATTTCTCTGTCACTTCCAGCATGGGGTCTAATTCAATTAGTAGCAAAGGGCCCGGATGCGCGCCACACAGCTGGTCACAGCCTGATAATTATCTGTAAACTAGCTGTGGTTCGGCTGAATCTGAGGCCAGACAGACGACCAGAGGGCAGCCAAAGGCAATAGAGAGGGGCTCAGTAGATAACAGGCCCTAAAGTTGGAAGCAGCTGGCCCTTTGGCTTTGGAGACCAAAATGGAGAGCGAATCAGACTGGACGGTGCTGCCCGAGACCGCTGACAGCTGACTCCCTGAGAGTAGCAGAGAGCTGGCTGTGAGGATGCTGTTTAGGCACATTCAGGATGCACATTCATCAACACGACACCAGCAGATCTGTCCGATACGCAGTGACACACAATGAAACATAAGTGCATAGCTTGGCACCAAAATGTGACTCAGTCAGTTATTTCTAATTAAAAAAAGTAGCAATAACTGAACAAATTACAAGGAATTGGTTAAGGATGTTAAATGATTAAGCTCAACAGGGAAGGATCTTGTAAATGAAATATACAATTGAAAATATAATTATAAAGTATCTTTTAATGGGTAATAGAAAAAAGGATAACACAGAGCATGAATCCCTGCTTAGTTGTGAATATTATTGATGTGTTTGTTATCTGTTGATTGTATCCTATAAATCATGTTTAAAATATGTTTATAATCAACATGATCAAAACAAGGATCTGTTTAGGATGTAGTATTTCTATATATCAAAATGAGTTTTTTCAGTTTCTTGCTTAGAGTTAGAGGAGAAGTTTGATAGCACCCTCAGAAACAGCTCTTGGTCTAAAGTTTCCTGAAATGTCCAACCATTGCTTTAATCATTTGATCTATAAATGCTGAAAAATACACATCACAAACTCCTACAGCACAGGGTGATGTCTTTGAATAGCTTGTTTTGCCTGGCAAACAGCCCAAAGGCTTCAGAAATTCAATTTCTTATAATAAATAACAGCAAACACTGAAAATTGAGAGGATGAAATGGAGTTCAAAGATCTGGATGAAGCAAAGTCTGCCACCAACTATATTTCATTTTTGCCAATTAGTTGTCTTACACTCTGTTCCTTTAAACGTTTAGCCAATTATCTAAATAGTTGCTGATTCATTTTGTGCCAATCATATTGATTTACCTAGTATTGGTTCCTATCTGCAATTATCAAAAGGTCATGAGGTGTCAGCAGGTAGCTTTCAAGTTTACACAAATAGTTAACTTGGCATTACATCTTCCACATGTCCTTTCCTAAGTATCGTCAACAAATCCAAACTTCCATTGATCGGCTGTCGTCTCTTCTTACACAGTCCAAAAAGCTCTTTGCAGAGGGATTCAGCTCCATCTTATCTTGATGAGACACGTTAGAGCGCTATTGAATTTAGACTGCAAGAAGGTTAAAGAAAGATAGATTTAAATGTCAAAATGAACAAACAGAAAAAGGACAAAGTTATTGGAAGAGTTTCCTTTTTAGCAGATTTCTCTGGAGAAATAGCTGTAATTGAAAGAGCTTCTTTTGTCCCATTATCAAACTCACAGTGTCAATGTGACACTCCTTGTTTAATCTCTCCCTGATGTGGTAGGATCCGTGTGCCCACTGTCGCACCCGATGGGGATTAGAGAATAAGAGAGAGATACACATAGAGTCTTTGAAAAAAGTGACATTTTCAGGTCCAATTTAGTCATTTCTCAGCTTGTACATCAAGTATTCTAGACATCCATCTTCTTCACTTAATTATAACATTGTAACAACAGAAACATTTCTGAGGTCAGGCCAGAGTTTTGTATGTTTTATGTATAACATACATGACGCAAGATGTTGAGTACATACCACGAAGGGCCATAACAAACCTCAACAGAGCAGGACGTAACACGCTGACTTCCTGGAACAAGAGATGTTTAACAGAAACACAATGGCAGATGAAAATGCATAATGCAGGCTCCTGGAAGCACAGCACGCCATCCACGGCAGTTTCAGGCAGCTGTGTGTGTGTGTATTTGTGTCTGTGTAAAAGGGGGGCTTCATGCAAACTCTGAACTACGTGTGGAGGCAAAAAAATAATCAAATTTGTGGCTTCAGTGGTGCCTGAAAGCAGCACCTTGAAGCGCTGCTGTTCTCATGCTCTGTCACCTGGAACAGCAATAAACCAGTCAGCACAATGAAACACACACACACACACACACACACACACACACACACACACACACACACACACACAACCAAGCATCTGAATGTGTGTCTGCAAACACTGTGGACCTAATCACTCATGCTAGATGTTTTTTTTCTAAGTCTAATACAAACATCAATACTGTATGCAACAAATGTCTCAACTAACAATAAAATGTCTGCTACATGTGTTCGCTTCTCTATAAAACCTTCTACTACATGCAAGTATTACAGCCTGTCAAATGCATATCAGTTGCTAGATTCAAACATTTTTATGCTGTTGTGTCAACAAACTTAAGTACACAATATCGCTCTGCTGCAAACAGGAGTACTGCGAGACTGAGAAACGTACATTTCACAAATCTAATTTATACTATTACAAAAAGCTCAACTTAAAGACTGCAAATTACATTTGTTTCCATCATCAATTAATCTGGTACATATTTTCTCGTT